GTCAAGGCTGGCTTCTCCGCTTCCAATCCAGCTTCCTGCAGGTTTATTGTGAGAGGCAGCAGATGATGGCTCAAGTGCTTGGGCCCTCGCCTTCCACATAGAAGACCCAGTAGTATTCCAGGCTCCTGGTTTCAGCCTGACCCAGATGAAAGTAATTAAATATCGTGTGTGTGTGTGTGTGTGTGTGTGTGAAGAAATAAGCAGACTTGCAGTGGCAGAGAAGGGACTTGTGGGTGCTTCTGTCACACACTCTGTGTCTTCATTAAGTTGTTTTTTTTTTTTTTTCGACAGAGTGGACAGTGAGAGAGAGAGACAGAGAGAAAGGTCTTCCTTTGCCGTTGGTTCACCCTCCAATGGCTGCTGCGGCCGGTGCACCGAGCTGATCCGAAGGCAGGAGCCAGGTGCTTCTCCTGGTCTCCCATGGGGTGCAGGGCCCAAGCACTTGGGCCATCCTCCACTGCACTCCCGGGCCACAGCAAAGAGCTGGCCTGGAAGAGGGGCAACTGGGACAGAATCCGGTGCCCTGGCCAGGACTAGAACCCGGGGTGCCGGCGCCGCAGGCAGAGGATTAGCCTAGTGAGCCACGTCGCCGGCCCTTCATTAAGTTCTTGGTCAGAACGATCAGCCCCTGGGCTGGAGAGGTGGAGGGATTCCTAATATCGGCAGCAGGTGAGGTGCAGTGGGGAGCCAGCCAGGGAGAAGTAAAAGAACTTGCTCAACAGTTAAGACTCCTCTTGGACTCCTGGACAGGATTTTAGAGAAGCTGACCTGGATGGACGAGGCAAAATTCATCTCTTTTAAAGATATTCATCGGTGCAGGGGCTGGTGCCATGGCACACTAGGTTAATCCTCTGCCTGCGGTGCCCACATCCCATATGGGCGCCGGTTCTAGTCCCGGTTGTCCCTCTTCCAGTCCAGCTCTCTTCTGTGGCCTGGGATGGCAGTGGAGGATGGTTCAAGTGCTTTGGCCCCTTCATCCGCATGGGAGACCAGGAAGAAACTCCTGGCTCCTGGCTTTGGATCGGCACAGTTCCAGCCATAGCGGCCATTTGAGGGGTGAACCAATGGAAGGAAGACCTTTCTCTCTGTCTCTCTCTCACTGTCTGTAACTCTACCTGCCAAATAAATAAATAAATAAATCTAAAAATAAAAATAAAATCAGATATTCATCGGGGCTGGCGCTGTGGTGCAGTGAGTTAAAGCCCTGACCTGAAGCGCCGGCATCCCATTTGGGCACCGGTTCTAGTCCTGGCTGTTCCACTTCTGATCTAGCTCTCTGCTATGGCCAGGGAAAGCAGTAGAAGATGGCCCAGGTCCTTGGGCCCCTGCACCTGCGTGGGAGACCCAGAAGAAGCTCCTGGCTCCTGGCTTCAGATCCGCACAGCTCTGGTCGTTGCAGCCCTTTAAGGAGTAAACCAGCAGGTGGAAGACCTCTCTCTCTATCTATACCTCTCTCTCTAACTCTGTCTTTCAAACAAATAAATCTTAAAAAAAAAAAAGATATTCATATACTCATTTACTTGACAGGCAAAGGGACAGAGACAAATAGAGAGCTTCCATCCCCTGGTTTACTCCCCACAAATGCCTATAACAGCCAGGGCTGGGCCAGGCCAAAGACAGGAGCCTAGACCTCAATCTGTGTCTCTCACGCGGGTGCAGGGACCCACGTATTTGAGCCCCACACAGCTGCCTCTCAGGGTGCACATTAACAGGAAACTGGAATTGGAAGCAGAACTGAGATTCGAACCCAGGCACTCCGATGTGGGACGTGAGATGCAGGCGTTCCAATTGGTGCCTTCACCACACCATCGAATTCCCACCCTGCAGAAGTGAATCTTCAGCTGGACATCTCACTGGAAGGATTTTAGGGACAGGCCTGGGAATGCAGGAAGTCACAGATACATCTTTCTGATTTTAACTTGAGATGGCAGCACACCCAGGGGCCCAGCAGAGAAGCCAAGGGGGTTAGGAGTTCCAAACCACCTGCCAGGGGAGCACGTGGGCCCGTCTGGCCCCACTTGTCCCACTGCCTCGCCAAGGGCAGGTGCACTCCCAGCCCTGGGGCAGGGTTGCCATTCCGATATGAAAATAACCTAAGCCCTTGACTCAAAAATAACAACATCTGCTCATTTGCATGAGAGTTTTGCATTTGATATTTGGGTTTAATACCCAAATGCTAACATTCATTTGTTTTGACCAAGTAGCTTATAGGTTGAACCCATACAGCGAGCTCTGCCCCGGCACCCCCAGATCCACTTCTGCTCTGCACAGTGCTACTCACCACCTCCCCTCACCCCCGAATTGACCCGTGCACGAGTCCGCGGTTACAGGGTACAAAGTCAACCTCCCCAAGGCCCTGTTATTTGTGAACGGGTTCCTGGGAAAGGGTCTCGTGCCCATCCAAGCTCTACCCGGGATCCGAGCCCGCCAGGGGTCCCGCTGGAGATGAGCAGCCCCTCCTTAGAAGCGCCGGCGGTGGTGTGAGGGCAGTGGTCCCGGGAGTGTGAGGGTTGAGAGGCGACCGCGGCCAAGGTGTTAATGAACGCACAGGGGCACTGCCAGGCATCGATTGTTTCCGTCCCCTTAGTCACGGTTCACGTTGCTTGTTTCACTCGGATGAGGACAGACAAGCGTCGAACGCGCACAGGTGTGTGATGCCAGGAGCATTATTGCTCAGAGGGCCCCGGGGGTCTCGGGTGGGCTAGGGATGGTGAGTGTGTGTGGACTTCGGGATTTCGGAACAGGTGGCTGTCTCTGGTTCCCTCCCGGGCACAGTGTAGGTGTGATTTTCCAGCTCAGGCATGTGTCAGAGCCTGCCCTGGAGAGCTGGCTGGACCCCACCTCTGTGGGCCTGGGGTCGGGCCTGAGAATTGGTTTTTTTTTTTTTTTTTTTTTTGTTTTGTTTTGTTTTGTTTTTTTTTTTTACAGACAGAGTGGACAGTGAGAGAGAGAAAAAGAGAAAGGTCTTCCTTTTGCCGTTGGTTCACCCTCCAGTGGCTGCCGTGGCCGGCGTGCTGCGGCCGGCGCACCGCACTGATCCGATGGCAGGAGCCAGGTACTTATCCTGGTCTCCCATGGGGTGCAGGGCCCAAGGACTTGGGCCATCCTCCCCTGCACTCCCTGGCCACAGCAGAGAGCTGGCCTGGAAGAGGGGCAACCAGGACAGAATCTGGCGCCCCGACCGGGACTAGAACCCGGTGTGCCGGCGCCGCTAGGCGGAGGATTAGTCTATTGAGCTGTGGTGCCAGCCCGAGAATTGGCATTTGTAACAAGTGTCGGGGTGACACTGATGCTGCTGGTGTAGGGACCCCACTTTGAGAACCAGTGGGGTTAGTGGCCACTTGGTTTTCAATCCCGACTCTAAGACCCAGTGCTTTGTGAGGGTGGGCCACACGCCGACCCTCCCCGTGTCTCCTCCGCTCCTCATCCGGGAGGCGGGGGTGATGGTAGCACCCCCACCCCGGGCTTGCTGCAGGGAAGAAATGACCTAGAACTTGAAAGCGTCTCAAGCGGGCCTGGTGGAGAGAGCCCCGCTCTGGGTGTTGGGTAAATACACAGAGAGCCCAGCCTCTTCGCACTATGAGCCGCTCAGGCTGATGTCTCATTTCCCCGCTACCTGCAGCTCTCAGGGGAGTTGCCGGGTCATTTTGTCCATTAGCTTTCAATCCAGTGTCTGGTAGCCAAGGAAGCTAATGTTCACTCGGCGCCCGCGGGGGCGTGACTACCAACACCCGGCAGAATTCTCCTCTCAAGCCGCTCTTCGGATCCATGGGGTGTGGAGAGGTTGACTCAGCAGGATGGCAACACGAGGGCACTGCTACATTTGGGGTTTCTCTCCTCGTGCAGGCGAAGAAGCTGGGTCTGTCCGATGCCAATGATCTATGATCTTCGAGTTCTGTCCTACCTCCCTAACTTCAAATGAATATTTATTTTTTTTAAATATTTTTATAGGAGGCTGACATGGAAGGTTTTTTTGTTTTGGATTGATGTGAGAAACAGAGATGGGCAGACACAGAGGAGAGTGCCCATCTGCTGGTTTTACTCCAAATGCCCACAGCAGCAGCAGGGGCTGGGCCAGCACCAAAGCTGGGAGCTGGGAGCTCAATGCAGGTCTCCTGTGGAGGTGGCAGGCACCCAGCCACTGAGCCCAGTACAGACCCTCGCAGGGTCTGCATTAGCAGGAAGCTGGAGTCGGGAGCAGGAGGCCAGCATCACACCAGCTACTCCTGTGTGAGATGTAGGCATCGTAACTCCCAGGTCGGGCCCCTGCTGCCATGTGGATATTAACGTAAAAGTTAAAGTCGGGTCCCCAAGCATCCTGCAGTGGCAGCTGCCCCCCAGAAGTGAGCTCCTAGGCGACCTCTGTTGCATGGGTTTGCCTCTCCCACAGAAACGCTCAAGAGCACTTCAGAAAGCTTGTGGAAAAGCTGCATTGGAAGAAGTTTATTTTGCTGCAAAAAATTATTTGACATCCACCCTAGTTTTTTCATGCACGTCTTCCATGAACTTTCTGAACAGTCCTCGTTTCCCTCTTGAGGGACCTGACTTCCAGTGTCGGTTATTCTCTTCTGGTCTGAGTTCTGTTAAAAATGATTGATAGAATGATAGATAGATAGATAGATAGATAGATAGATAGATAGATAGATAGATAGAAAGATAGATAGAATGATAGAAAGAAAGAAAGAATGATTGATAGATAGAAAGAAAATAATAGATAGAATGATAGATATAGATAGAAAATGATAGAATGACATAGATAGATAGAATGATTGATAAATAGATAGAAGGATGGGTGGATGGGTGGATGGATGGGTGTTGTGTCCCCCTCCCAAAGGCTGCTTTTCTTGTCTGAGTTTGGACGTCGACTTAGCGCCTCAACATAGCTGTTCCAGAGCAGCGCCCCCTGCCAAACGGTCAGGGCGGCGTGCGCAGGCTGCCCGGGAGCACGTGAAGACGGGGGCAGCGCCGCCCTGTCCTGAAAGTGTGCTTTCTCTCCACAGTGCTCCTTCCTGCCGAAATTCTCCATTCACATAGAAACCAAGTACGAGGACAACAAGGGGAGCAACGACAGCGTGAGTAGCCCCTCCTTGCGTTCCGCGCTCGCCGCTTGGGTGTCCTCGTGTGGCCAGGGCCAGCAGCAAAGATCAGTGCCTGGGGTCGCAGAGACGTTCTGGCGCTTGGTCCCTGGGCGTTAGGTCCCGGAGCGTCCCTTGGAATTGTCCTGTGGTTTTGTTTTTCTTTCTCATTATTGGTGTGGACGGTTGGGGAGCTCTGTGCAGAAATCTCTAGAATGGTAGCTTCTGGAGGTGGGGAGGGTGGGGGTGGGGGGGGACTTGGAACTCCATGCTTTGGTTTTTGATTGTTGGATGGAGCGTGTGTCCTGTCAATGATACTAATATTTACCAGGAAAAAGGAATGCCATTAGATACACCAGGGTGCTTTATAAAGGTCATGGGAAAATGGAATGGAATGAAAAGGTGGGTGTGGGACAGGCTTTTGGCACAGGGATTACGACCTCCCTTGGGATGCTGCCATCCCGTATCATTGTGCCTGGGTTAGAGTCTCAGCTCCACTCCTGATTCCAGCTTCCTGCTAATACCCACCCTGGGAGGCAGCAGGTGATGGCCGAGTACTTGGGTCCCTGCCACCCTTGTGGGGGACCCAGATTGAGTTCCAGGCTCCTGGCTTCCGCGTGTCCCAGCCCTAGCCTTTGCAGGCATCTGGGGAGTGAACCAGTAGATGGAAGATCATTGTATTTGTCTCTGCCTTTCAAATACGTAAAAAGTAAGTAAACAAGGGTGGGCATTGTTGCCTAGTGGGTTAGGCTGCTGCTTGGAGTGCCTGCATCCCATTAAGGCCTGGGATCAAGTCCTGCCTCTACTTCTAACCCAACATCCTACGAGGCAGTGGATGATGGCCCAGATACTTGCAATCCTATCACCCCCATTAGAGTCCTTGCTGGAGTTCTGGGCTCCTGGCTTTGGCCTGGCCCAGCCTCGGCTGTCTCAGCTGTTTGGGGAATGAACCAGTGGTGGAGGATCTTTCTCTCTCTCTGTGTCACTCTAACCTTGAATGAATAAATAAATAAATAAATAAATAATAAATGTTTAAAGATGAGTAGAGCAAACATTCTCAAAAAGAGGTAAATTTATTTTGGTGCAAAAACATTTGAAATTCACTTATAGTTTTTTTTCTTTATGCGTTTTCCACAGACATTTTCAAGATCCCTTGTTTGCATGGCTTTCAAAAAAATTTGGCATCAAGATAAGCTTCTCTTTTAATTTCCTTTTCCATGTACATATTGAAGTACCCTTGTGTGCATGAACACTGTATATGTTTATTCAGACTTTGCTCATGTTCACCTGTATACCCCTGCACACATATATCCCAACAGAAAAGCAGGTGCACCCCGCAAATGTCCACCGCGTGATGCTTGCTGACTCATACTATGTTTTAGCCAAGTACTTGGTTCTTTAACATTGCATAAGAGCCTTCACCTCACCTGGCTTTTACTGCAGATACTTTCTGCTGGGGCCCTGCCCTTCTTAGTTCCCTTGTCTTGGGGGTGAGCATTGTAATCTACCAAGCGCCTCACTGGGTTTCGTTGGGCATGAGCCTAGATCTGGAAGCTGCAAGGCTTCGCCTATTAACTTGGACCCTGTGGGCAGGCTTTGAATTTCCGGAACGTGATGGAAATTAGAACTGTGTGAAAATGGGCAAGAAAGAGAGCTTCCTGGCAAGGTCACCCCTGGGGCCCTCGCTGAGCCAAGGGAATGCAAAACGGCGTGCAGGAGGGTGGGGAGGCTCCAGGGAGCCAGGAAGCCAGGTCCAAGGACGCAGGAACACCCTCACCCTGAAAACCTGCTCCCGTGTGACAGCAGTCACTGAGGACAACTAAGAAACCCCCTGGGAGGGACTATGTTGACTAGGCCTACACTATGCTCTTTGTGTTGACGTCTTCTAGAAAGATCTGGAGAATTCCTGCTCTGGGCAGATCAAGTTCTGATAGAAGGGGTATGGCGTATTTGTGCGGTCAGTGCAATGATAACTTGCAAGTGCAGCCACCTGGCTAGGTTAGAGGGCGTTCCCAGGAGAGGCCTGCTCCAGGACCCTGTTTATGGGAGCTGGCATCCAGACTGTTCCCCTGCTACTTTGTTCAGGTCATTCTGCCTGGCCCAAAGGACACTGGATGGCCCCTGCAAGCTAACATCCGCCTGGGTAGAGCTTGAGTGATTCCCAGTGGGGAACTACAATTCACACCAGCTTTGTGAAGGAAGACACGGGTTCGGGATACAGCAAACTGTGTCAAGCCGCTTCTATTAATATATCGCAGTATGAGTTACCTGCATATGGTGTTAAAAATGCAGACACATTTCCCACACTGTAGGTACTGAGAGGTTAGCTGACAGACAAAGACCAGCATACCAAATGACTAAAAACAGAAGCGATTAAGATAGCCACACATCCCATGTTGGCATGCCTGGGTTCAGGTGCCAGCTTCCACTCCTAACCAAGGCTTGCTGCTAATGCAGAACCCGAAAGGCAGCAGGTGTTGGCTCAAAGAGTTGAGCCTGCTCTCCGAGGCACATCAGCAGAGAGCTAGACCAGAAGCAGAGCAGCGGGACTCAGCCCAGCAGTCTGATATTGCCACAGCTTAACAACAACCTGGCCCCTAATAGAATTTTTTTACTAGAGAAATAGAGACAGATACACGGAGAGCAAGCTCCCGTCTGTTGGTTCACTGGCCAAATGCCTACAACTGCCAGAGCCAAAATCAAGAACCAGAAACTCAACGTAGATAGTTTCCTGTCTGGGGGGCAAGCACTGAAGTCCTCACAGCTGCCTCCCAGGGTGCACGTTGGCAGGAGGCTGGATGGAAAGCTGAGCTGGGACTTGAATCCGGCACTCTGATACGGAATGTGGGACATCCCAGTGGCATCTTACCCGCTGTGCCTTCGCCCACCTCAAGTACATTTGGAGAATGTCTTTTAGTCTTTCCAAGCCAATTGCTTTGCTTTCTCTCTTTCTCTATGGCTGTGTCCTTGCAGGTTAACTCAGAACAGCTGTCAGTGCATAGAGGCACAGAGGAGACCTGTGGCTGCCCTGTGCTTCTTAGAGACTAACAGGACCCCTGTCATTGTCTGGCTCGTGCCCTGCTCATTTCATTTATTATCCCGAATCCCTTCTTAGCAGCTGCCAAGTTCTGGTCACTGCTCTCCCAGGAATTCAAAACATTGCGTCGAATGTTGCAGGCACAAAGAAATGATCAACGTTGGAGGTGATCACCCTGATGTGATTATTACTAACTGTACACATGGACTGAAATAGCACACCACGCCCCAGAAATACGGACAATTATTATGTATCAATTAAAAGTATATACTTAAACAGATTGTCCACCAGTTAGTGTCAGGATCCATGACTGTGCCAAATCAACATCCCCCCTTGCTCACTGCAAGGGCCAAGCCTCTTTGAGGCCTGCAAAGAAGCACTAAACCATGGGGCGCCTGTGGGCAGAAAAGCAGCTGATGCACCTGCCTTGCCTCCCTCTCCCCAGCATGCTGCCTCAAGGATTGCCCACAGGGCCGCTCGTAGCTCTGTGTCCTGCAGCCAACCTGACCGAGGTCAAGCCCTGCCCTCTTGTGGCACTGGAGAGGCTCCCCATGTATTTCTGCCCTGGCTCCCACCCCAGCCTCTACCCAGCTCTGCTCCCCACATCTTGCTCCTGAGGCCCCACTTGATTGCTCTGCAAGTTCACCTCCTAATTTGCATCCCCAGTCACAGCAGGTGGTCATGCAGCTGGTTAAAAGTTGATACCCAGGGAGGGGAGGGGATCGGTGCTTTTCATCCCACTTGCTAATGCTTCAAAATCTCAACATGAGAAATACAGTCTTAGCTAATCATTCTTAATTATTAAAAGGTGGCTTTGATCAGCCAGGAATTCAAACCAGAGCCTTAAAAGCCAATGGCATGTGTTGACAAATTCTTCTGTCCAGAGCTGAGTGTGGAGTTTTGGGTGGGAGGCAGAGTTACTCAGTAGTGCAGTGGTGGAGATGTCTCCTGTCTCACCGTGTTGCCAAATTTCTTAATAAACTCAGTTTGTGTCTGCATTTTCTGGGCGTTTTGGCTTATCATTCAACCGCCATCCGTCACACTGCCCTCTGCACCGTTTCTTCCCCTACTTGCCAAAAATGTAATGAAAGTGATGATGATAAGAAGTAATAACTAAATTGAAAGGCACTAGTGATTGTCATATTGATTAGTGGTTGAATAAAATGCATGTTGTTATCCTGTTATCAATTACCAAATAAGTAATTTTTTACATGACCCGATGTCTAGTAAAACAAAACAAAAAGTGTCAGGGGGACTACATGTAAATATCTTCTGTGTTAAAAATAAAAGTCGTGTATTTATGATTGTGGGAACCTGCAAACTGTGATTACATTAGCCAGGACACAGTGGGGAAGTTGTCTTAAATTGAGGCCCATTTATTTTATGTGCATACTGATGAGAATTGCTTAGGACTTAATTAGTGCTGGGGAGGGCGGCACAGTGCCAGGGGAAGGTTCTGTTGTTTGTCCAAGGCCATAAATCTAGACCCGGGAGAGTCAGAGCTTAGCACCTCCTGACCCAGCTCAAGGAGGAGTGTGTGTGGGACGCCTGCTGCCAGGCTACTGGTGTTCTGTGGGGTTAATGAGGGACAGTCTGGCATTTACTTCCTCTTCCAAACAAAGCATGCACCACTCAAAGCAGTGGCTCTTGACCTTGACTGCACATTGCACTCACCTGAGTGGCTCAGGCTGGGCCCCACTCCCCTGGGAGTTCGATTTACCATGCTTGGACCTGGATGCACATTGGTCTGAACCAGCCATCCCATGAAGGGTGTAACACATGAAGGGTGTAACACTCCCATCCAGAACGCTGGGTTCTCCACCTGGAAGTGTGCACAGCTTAAGGGAGTCCACCCTCAGGCTGGTCTGATGCATTGCCTAGCAGGACATAGGATACACCATCCCTACTCATGTGAGGATCCAAACCAGAGGTTCTCATTCATGGCTGCATACCCAAGTCA